GCTCAGTTGGTTAAGCGACTGCCTTCGGCTCAGGTCATGATCCTGGAGTCCCGGGATCGAGTCCTGCATCGGGCTCCCTGCTCGGCAGGGAACCTGCTTCTGCCTCTGACCCTCCCCCCTCTCATGTGCTCTCTCTCTCTCATTCTCTCTGTCTCAAATAAATAAATAAAATCTTTAAAAAAAAAAGAAATTATGTAAAAAAAATTCTTTGTTTGGACTCTATTCCTACACCATGAAATTGCTCATTCTACATATTCAATATTCATACAATATTAACGTGGCACCCAAGAAAAACAAATTCCTGTTCAGGTATCCATCTGCACCAAGTGATGTCCACGCCCCTTTCTCCTTCCCTACCAGGTGTTGAGCCACAGTTTGCAAAGGTCAAAATAGAACAGCAATTAGATGTACAAGTGTTTGTGTGAAGTGTGTGCTCACATTCACTTATGTGTTCTTGAAGGGTCATTCTAAAGTCAAATATAGATGTACTTTGGGATTATGCACATCGTATGTCTTATTTGCATCTCCTGTTTCTGCCTTTAAAATAGTCCCTCGTTTATAATGCCAACTGTGTTGATGCCTTATCTCTTAGCAGTAAACCAAATCAGGTTCCCTAGAAAGTCATTCTTACCTGCCTTAGTGCAGTAGGCAACGTGTCAGCCTCATAACCTAGAAAGTCATTCTTATCATCTACAACCCCAAGAAATGAACTTTTAAATAATTTCATATTCTAAAAACTCATAGAACATATTGTCTATAAATATCAATTTCAGGATGCAATTTATAATCACACACCACCTAGCAGAAATGAAATATAAAATAACTACACTTTCTGCTGACAACTGATAAATGTGCTCCAAAAACATTTCATAGTTTTGTTGTTCTGTAGTTTAAATAACTTTGGAATAACATGATTCAGAATTTAGATGAAGTTATCAACACACAGTTCATTCAAATAAACTCTTCCAAAAGTACTGCCAGTTGGAGAAAGCTGACAATCCTTGCAGAAGTCCTTACTGTTTTGTTTTTTGGGTTGGTTGGTTGTTTTTTAATAAAGCTTTGGTCTGGTGTTTTCACTGTCATCTGTTAGGCCAACGTGAACAAAAGTCCACCTCACTCCTACAGTGAAAAACATCTGTATTAAATATGTTTTGGAAAAGTAAGTAAAACCATAAAACAGTACAAGCAATAAGTTTTTTGGGTTTTGTTTCTGTTTTGTTTTTTTAGACTTACTTCTTATTGATTTTGGAGTAAAAAAGAAAATAGTAAGTCTGGTTTTTTGGTTTCTCCCTTTGGCCTTACAGTATAAAGTATAACACTATGCAAGTAGACTCAAGTCCTCAACCTAAACTAAAATATAATCAGACAACACATCCTGAATTACTTTTTTTAAACTAACATCATTTTTTAAATTTAGCATTTACAAAAGCTAATTAGCTATCACTTCAAACCAGAAAATCTACGCATTATCATTCTTTTTTTCAATACAAAACTATGATTCAAAACTTTTTCATTTAGCACCAGCTGTGTTTCAGGAAGTGAAAATTCTGGTGAGGATGAGATAGGATACAGTGCCTAATAATAAATCTGGTTTCTGTGTCTCCATTTTATTAGCATTTAAATGACAGGCAAAGCCTTATGTGGCTCACAAACGGGTATTTTAAAACCAGCACTCCAAAAGCACTGCATAACTAGCAGATATAACCACCACCTAATTATTATTTGTCAAGGGTCACATAATGGCTAACGGGTTCTCCCAATAGGCGTTTATTACTCAACCTGCCAAACGCCAGGAACAAGAGGAGTCCGTGGAGTATGAGAAAGGTGCCCTGTTGTTCTGCCGGCCTTTTAGAGGCTGCGCGGGATGCATCATTCAAAACACCCAAACGCCTGGTACTCCGCGAGGTATAAAAATAATTCCACGTTCTCCAACTGGTGGGAACTCTAGAAATCTACTCCAATCCCTTCGTTTTAGCAATAATGAAATTGGCAGGGATTTAGTGCTCAGTTATTCTGAAAGCGCTAATGTTCTGAAAACAAAACTTTATGGAAATAGAAAAGAATTTACATTCATAACTCACACCACTGAACCCTTAAATAATCAGAGTTTAAAACAAAGGACAGATACCCTCTGTGTGCACCCAGTCCAGCCTTTTGGCATTATCCCTGGCCACCAAGCTCAAACCTGTGTCAAGGAGGATGCCACACAAGGTCCCACCGCGGGGGGGGGGGGGGGCGCGCCGGGGGCTGCGGGGGAAGGGAAGCAGGCGGGCGCCAGGTGCGAACACCTGGGTCCGGGCGTGGCGCTTCACTCTCCCCACACGTGAGAAGGGCGTGACGCCACCTGGCCCGTTCGGCCGACTAATGAATGAGAACCGCCCGGGAAACGACCCCAACGGCGCCCGCCGCGCTCCGGTCGCTGTCCCCAGGCAGCGGGACGTCCCCCGCCGCGGGCAGTCCGGGCACAGGGTCTGACTGTCCCACTCCCCCACCCCCACCCGCGGGCTCTCCCCGCGCCCCGGACCCTCTCACGGCCCGACGGTTACAAATGTGCCCAGAACCGCGCCCGCTAGATGCCGGCTCCCAGCACCGTCCGCTACGGTAACGGGCGCCGGCCCGACGCTGCCCCGACGCCGCCTACCTTGGCCACCCAGCTGAACAATGGTGACATCGCGGGCCGGGTGGCGGCTCCTCGCCCGTCGCTCCCGCTCACTCCCGCCGCCGGCCCATGAGGCGGC